GGGGGAAGTTGAGGGGCAGGGAGGGGGAAGTTGAGGGCCAAGGGGTTGACAACACCAGTCCATAACGTGTCGGAGAAATTGGATGATTGTTGCACATGAAGAAAGATTGGTGTTGTACTATTCCTCTTACCTACCTGCAAAAGATCCTTGTGCTTTTGCTTATTCTGTTATTCACATTTACAATTCACTTATTGGTTTGGCTTGCAGGATGCGCCCATAAGAGAGGATGGAGACCTTAGACAACCCAAGTTTGATGGTGGGTTTCAACCCGTTCTTGTTGACATTTGAACTCTCTGTGACTACAACTTTGGCTTTCCTCACCTGGGATGCGGGATTCACTGCCTTGTCTCCTGGCCACCACTCCTACCTCCTCCACCTCCTGCCCCTCCTCCTCCTTCTCCTTGTCCTCGTGCTCGTCCGCCTCCTCCTCCTGTTGCTGTTGCATTAAGCAGTATATCTTGCAGCCATGGATTGAAGGTCAGGAGCTGTGCTCCTGCTCTTGTCCATGCCCAGGCCCTGCCCAGCGGCATGTCTTTTGTCTATGGTCTTACCATGACTGGCCCTCCGCATTCCATCCCACCCTCTTTGTACTCCTCTGGCACGTTGTTCCCACATTACTACACACGTGCTCTCTGCCGCAGCCCTCCTCTTTTCCTTGTCCTCTGTTGGATTGGTTCCTCGCCTGCTACTGTTGGTGGATTTTGGCTCAGGGGTTAGAAAGGATTGGGAATCAGGTTGAATTTGTATGTATGTACCACTTCTGGAACTCTCTCTCTCTCTCTCTCTCTCTCTCTCTCTCTCTCTCTCTCTCTCTCTCTCTGTGTGTGTAGTGGGTGGGTGGGTGTTTCCATGCCAAGGTAGCCAGCCTGGGTTTGTTGTGATTGTACTGTCCATTCTCTATGAAAGGAGCTCACCGCCACAGCCGTAGTCCCGGTTGCAGTTCAGTTCCCTAGTCCCAGTTCCAGACCCAGTCCCGGTAACCTGTACCATATACCCATGTCCCAGGCAGGATACTTGTCAAGTAGGCCAATATAGGAGGATTCTGTTAGATCGCAATACAACTAGGAAAATTCTGCCGCAGTCGGTCCAGTAAGCAGATTCCCAGGAAAGTTCACAAACTTCTGGAAGCGACAAACATCAGCGGGGAATCAGCCCATAACTGGTAGAGAAAGTCCGGAAGGCAAATCGTCAAGTACAAAAGTCCAGTTGCGGAAGTCATCAACTTGCATGAGCAGGCAGAAATGCTGCTGCACTATTTTGAGATTTGCGGCGCTTGTAGGAAATAGTTGACGGCACTGGGCGCCAGTAGCCATAGCCAGGTTAGGTGCGTAGGAGGAGGAGAGACTTCCAGGGGTATTCTGAGATATGCGAGGCCTTGGGGAGAGAAGACGGGTCAAGGAGGAGAGAGACCATACCTGACAGATCTTTTTTCGAGGACATATCTGCACCTTCTGTACCATGACAGTGTAATTGAGTAGATCGGCAGAGAATATCTTTGAACAGTATCTCACGTGTGCCTTGTGGGTGGGTGCTTCGGTTGGTGTGACCATGGTGTGAAAGTGTCAAGCATGGTTGGTCTCAAAACATAAAAATCAGCCATGTGTAAATTCAATAGGTATCTTTGTGTTTCTCGCCATGATCCCTCTACTTGGTTACTCTCGGCTTGCTTGTTCTGCGAAGGAGAATTTGTGTTTGTCTCGTTTCTCCCATGAAGGGCTTCCACATTGAGCTTGGTAGGGCTGGCCGTTTGTTACATGCCCAGTTGGGCGATGTACATAGAAACCGAGGATCCGCAATGTGATGAAAAGGACTGAATGGACAATGCAGTGCAAGTAGAATCTCAACAAGCAATGTGCATTCTAATACATACAAAATGGTGCTGAATAGCGCAGGGAAGACTTAGATACAAAGCCTGACCTGACCAGGACTGACCTCATACAGATAGCAAAGCAGAATGCTAGAATGCTAATGACTAGCCCAATCAATGTTTGAACGCAGACCAAGCATACATCGTATCCATCACCAGGTGTGAAGGAGCCTGGCGCTGTACACAGGAAGAAAGCGCCAGGTCCAGACATACACAGACGAAGAGGAGG